ATTCTATTTCATAATTTTTATTGTTTTATTTTTCTTTTAAAAGCTGGGGGCTCTCTTCCCTATAGCATCCAGACAGCTGAAAAACAGAATTGGCTGCATTCCTATTTTCAGTAAGTAATTGGTTTAGACTGCTGCTATTGCTTCTTTAGGAATTAGAATGTTATTTATGTCACTGTTTTTTTTTTTTTTTAAAGGAACTTTATGTAATATAGCTATATTCTTTCATCTACATATGTTGGTGATGGAAATAATTTAAAACAAGGTTTTGAAATTTTTTTTTGGATAGGTTTTTAATACCAAAGAGGAAAATTTATTGCTGTGAGGTTTCTATTTAAATATTGGCATGCCAAGAAAGACAAATAAAAGATCATGTTGGGTAGTTTAGAATTTACATAAGCAGCATTTTAGTCCATTTTTCCAAAATATAAAGTATCATTATTCTGTCTATACCATCACGTGTGGCTGCAAGCTTGGTGAGGGCAGATCCTATGCTATTGTCTCCTGAGGATACAGAACAGTATCTGGCATGCTGTCAGAGTTCAGTAAATGCTAAGTGGACAAGTGAAAGGAATGCCCTTCACCCTGCATGTGCTAGGCCAGTCTGTTTTTTCATATACTACAGCCTGCATATGCTAGGCCAGTCTGTTTCAAGCTTGCCTTAACAGGTGTTTGGCGAGCTGGTTAGCCAGAAATGAAAGCAGAATTACTTTGAATTATCTATAATTCAGTGTGTTTTCCTGGAGCAGCAGCAGCTCCTCCTCCTCCTCCTCCTCCTCCTCCTCCTCCTCCTCCTCCTCCTCCTCCGCCGCCGCCGCCGCCGCCGCCGCCGCCGCTTCCTCCTCTCCTCCTCCTCCTCCTCCTCTCCCCCCCTTCCTCCTCCTCCCTCCTCCTTCCTCCTTCTTCCTTCTTCTTTCTTCTTCTTCTTCTTCTTCTTCTTGAGATGGAGTTTCGCACTTGTTGCCCAGGCTGGAGTGCAGTGCTGCGAGCTTGGCTCACCGCAGTCTTCGGCTCACCGCAACCTCCGCCTCTTGGGTTCAAGCGATTCTCCTGCCTCAGCCTCCTGAATAGCTGGGATTACAGGCATGCACCACCATGCCCAGTTAATTTTGTATTTTTAGTAGAGACAGGGTTTCTCCATGTTGGTCAGGCTGGTCTCAAACTCCTGACCTCAGGTGATCCTCCTGCCTTAGCCTCCCAAAATGTTGGGATTACAGGTGTGAGCCACCACGCCTGACTGGAGCTTTTCTTTAGTGCTTTCTTGAGAGGTTTTTCCTTATAGAGGTCATGTCTTTATATTGAATTCCTTTCAGTATTATATTATTAGATTCACTTGAATGAGGGCAGTGATGGTAACTACCTAAACCTGATTCTGTTTTCCACAGACAATCTGTTAATCTGGAGGGACCATCCTCTTATAAGTAAGGCTTGTTGCCTCATGATATAGGTTCCTGTTAGAACCATAGTCTGCAATATTGGAAACAGAAATCAAACTCATTTGTGAATGTCAGCATTTAACTAAAGTATTCCTGACTTCTGCCCCTGCTTTTCAATATTCATTTTCTTCATATACTATTTGTATTGTGCCTATTTTGTATTTTGTTTCATTCAACATGCATTTGCTGAGCCTTTACTCATAACATACCATGGGAGCATGATTATTCCCTTTAAGGAGCTCACAGTTAAGCCAGGGTATATGTGCATACATGCTGTTAAAAGCACAACAGAACTAATATATGCATGTATGTATGTTCATGGCAAAAATGGAAAGGCTATATGCTAAAAGGTTACAGTGCTTCTTGTGGGAGGTGGGAAGTTTATAATTCTAAAATGGGCATGCGTTATTTGAACAGAGTTTCATAAAATATCAGTAGGTCAGAGTCATGTATCTGCAGTTGATTTTTAGATAGTATGCTTTTTCTTTTCATGCTGTTTCCTAATATTAGGATTATGAACAATTTGTAGTAGTTTGTAATTAGTGACTTGCGTCTTTTCTGTCACTAGCAAATGGTCAGCTGAGACTTCTGGCCGAAGCAATGCCATGCCGCATATTAAGACATATATGAGGCCTTCTCCAGACTTTAGTAAAATTGCTTGGTTCCTTATCACAAGGTAAATAGTCCTTACATTCCTTATGGGAGAAGTTTTTTTTAATGTGTTCATAATTCTTGCTCTGAATGTTGAATGGGTTTCTAAAAAGTGATTAGTGAGTTGTCATTACTTTTCAGTATGTTTGTGTAATGTGAGCCTTATTTAAAGGCATCTCATGACTAATCCCTTTGTAAAGTATATGATCATCACCTACTTTTGCTTATAAGTCTGCATGTTTATAAGATTTGCATAAAGTTTACATTTACTTCTGTTATTTAATACCTCAATAATAGGGGTTATGCAAATTGACGTATGGGTATATAGAGAAGAAAAATGAAATGTTAAAATTAATTTTTTTTTCTTAGTTTCTCCTTAGGTAATTGAACCTGAGGCATCAAATCTCTTTTGTTCCCTTTTCTGAAACATCTTTAAGATATAATTTATATACCATAAAATCTGCCCATTTAGTCTCTACTGTTTAATGGTTTTAGTATAGTAACAGAATTATGTAACCATTGCCATAATCTAAATTTAGAATATTTTTATCACCACTATAAGAAACCACCTACCTGTTGGCATTTTTACGTCTGTTTTTATAGGAAGATAAATTGCTATGTCCTTTGAAAACTAGAACTTGAGTTCCTGACTCCCAGGCTGAACCCAACGATTAGGCATCTCTTCATGATTCAGTAACATAATTAATGTCGATAGCAACTAATTAAAGTATCACAGAGCAGAATTATTTCTTTAAGAAAGGAACAGCACTCATGAACAAACTTTTAAACAAAAGAGTCACATCTTCTTGGATAGAGAGAAAGATTTATTTTAAGGAATTGACTGATGCAGTTGTGGGGGCTGGAAAGTCCAAAATCCATGGGGCAAACCGGCAGGTTGGAGATTTAGTAAGATGTGATGTTGCAATCTTGAGTCCCTTTCTACTTTATTGGAAAATTTTAATTTAGTGTCTGTTTGGGTGTAGTTTTCCCTCAAAGTGTAATAAAAAGGTAGATGTGCTTCACAGAAATTGGATGGGTATTATTGATCCTGTTTGAAGGGCATTAAGGGAAGTGGAGATTAAAGTAACCCTGTGAGTAATCTTTTTCTAAAGGCAAAGTTTTTGTAGTTCAGTTCAATGACAGTGCGTACTTGGCTGTGGGAACACACAGAGCCAGGAAGCATGAGCCCTGCCATGTAAGTGACGCTATATCCTAGTTGTTTACCTTTGTAAGGACCATAGTGGAAGCACTGTTAGAAATGTATTGCGTCATTGGGGCAGAGACAGGATCAAATGAGAGATCAGCTAAACTAAGTAAAGAGGTGCTATTGTAAGTAGGCCTAGAAATATGCCTGAGAGAAACCCAGATGGATTAGAAGGAACTAGTGAGGACAAAGGCCATGGAGGTAGGAAAATACACAGGGTTTTCAGGGAAAATCTGAATGATTCCGTAGGCTGCATAAAAGGAAACACAGGTTGAGATATCTTTAACATGTATTTTCTAAAGTTGAGTCAAAAAACATCCACTGTCAGTTTACTCATTTAATATTTGTCAGTTTTGTACTATGAATATCTGCTTTAATGTCAAATGGCTGTTACTAAATTAAGCAAATTATAGTTATTTGAAGTTAATTTATTGTAAGAATTTGAAATTTGTCATTATGGATTTGTAGCTTCTAGTTTTATTCTGTAATAACTAGACTGAAAGCTATATCTACTTTCCAAAATATTTAAAGATTAATAGCAACAACAATCGTTCCGCAATTTCAGTATGCCAGACTGTTCTGGGTGAACACTCGTGTATTTACTTATTTAATTCTCACAACACCTCTGAGGACCAGGAGGCACAGAGTGATTAATAAGCTGCCTGTTATGCAGTAATAAGCAGTGGAACCAAGATAGGAGCATGCCTCTCCCCTACTGACTGATGCCCCTCTTCATCAGCATACAGTTTTAGTGTGCCTGTTTTCTACAAAGACTAGTTAATTCCAAAGAAATTGTGTCATGCTTTACTTTGATTTTTGTATAAAAGAGGAAAAGGACATTGGGCATTCCAATATGATTGAAGGATTTCTGAGAAATGCAGCTTACATAACAACTTAAGATACATAGAGCCCACTCTCTCAGCTCTTCCATAACAAAGGAAAGTATAGATTACTGATATCAGTGGCATCTACCAGTAAGCAGCTCCCTTGATTAGGTTTGGACATTTTGTTTTTCTGTCTGTCATCTTTTCTGAACCTGTCAGAAAGAATGTTCCCAAACTGAACTCATCTTTTTTTTTTTTTTTTTTGGAGACGGAGCTCGCTCTTGCCCAGGCTGGAGTGCAGTGGCTCAGTCTTGGCTCACCGCAACCTCCGCCTCCTGGGTTCAAGGATTCTCCTGCCTCAGCCTTCTGAGTAGCTGAGATTACAGGTACATGCCACCACGCCCGGCTAATTTTTGTATTTTTAATAGAGACAGGGTTTCACCATGTTGGTCAGGCTGGTCTCGAACTCCTGACCTCGTGATCTAACTGCCTCGGCCTCCCAAACTGCTGGGGTTATAGGCATGAGCCACCATGCCTAGCCTAGATGGAGATTTCTTTTCCCAGCATTCTTCTTTGCCCTTGTGCACCTGTCTCTTATTACAAGGCTTAAAGCCTGACTGTCCTCTTTCACTGTTCCTTCAAGTGTTTGGCAAACATTTACTGAGGTCCTCCTGTGTATGCCAGACACTCAGGATAAAACAGAAAATTTAGATGGTGCTTTTTAGATGCTCACAGTCTCTGATGTGAGGAGCCAAACACAGAAATGATTAGAATAGGAAGAGACCAATTCTGTACTTGAGGTGGGCACATGGATGCTTTGGAAATAGCTATCACCAAAACCTAAAATGCAATAAAATAAATAAATGGGAAAAAAAAAAAAAAGGAAATAGCTATCAAAGCCTATTCATCTTTGAAATGTTTCAAAAGTTTCCTCTTCCAGTCCTTGCAATTACCAGGTCAGAAACTTATCACCTGGAGTTCTGAAAGGGTCTCCTATCTCTTGTCTCATCACATGAATGTTCTTCACAGGCCACTCATCCTGGTTGCCCATGCCCATTCACCTTTCCAAAACGTAGATTTTCCTCATTGTCCCATGTTCAGAATTCCCCACATCTTATAGGCTGATACACAGATTCCTCAGTTTGGAAGTCATGCCCCAGCCACACAATTTTCATCATTTTTATCCATTAATCCCAGTAGGAACTTTGAGAAGAAGCCAGGCTAACCTGCTTTGCCCCTGAAGTCATCCAGCCAGCAGCCGATGTAGTTTCCTCTCCTGATCTTTTCATCCCTTATCTCTGTCTCTCCAGTTATTACTCATCTTTTAAGAGTCATGTTCAGGTCCTATCTCCTCCTGGAGCCTCTTTCAGTCTCCGCTCATCCCGCCATGTCCAGACCCTTAGATCCATGTGCCACCAGAGGAGCTCACAGCTCCTACCTCACTATTTTGTCTCTTCTTTTAGAGAATAAGCATGAGCTTTAGCATTGTCAGACAGTACTAGATGAGATGGTCATGTCTGCTATTGAACAAGTCTTGCCTTGGACGAGTTTCTTAACCTGTCTGAGCCTCAGACTACTCATCTGCACAGCAACTGTGAAGGTTTGAGGTGCCAGCCATGGTAACGACCCAGAGACTGATAAACGTTGGTCTCTACAATTATAAGTTCATTGTGTCAAATTATTTAATAAAATGTAATGAACTAGAAGTGGGAGAGTGAAATCTCAATACCAGTACAAGGATTACTAGTGATAACCTAGTATGACCATCCCATATTACCTACTAAGTCCATCCATTGCTTCTTGCAGACAGAGTTCTTCTGTTCCAGACAGGGCTGTCTCTCCTGTGTCCTGCATCTGCTTGCTCACCCCGTGTGGTACCTTTGCTGGTGGTGATCATCTGCTTAGCATACCTCCCCTCTTCTCCCCAAGAGTCCAAATTCTGTTTCCTTAAAGGCCCAGTTGAAAACATACAGCCATTAAGGAATGTCTGGCCTCCCTGTAGTGATACTACCCTTGCTTTGAAGTGCCCGTTACTTTGTATGGCAAGGTCACATACTTGCTCTTACTCTCCAGTTGCCCACTTTCATGTCAGTCCTCTGGACCCCACCAACCCTAAGCTCATGCAGATCAGGGAGCATGTTATCTTTAGTACTCCATAATAGTCAGCTTGTATTTTTGAAAGCTGATGGTATAGTGGGCAGAGAGGATACAGGGTGATAAAACAAGCTCACATTTCGTCATTCAGGAAATCTAATGAGCCCTGGTTGCAGATTCTGTGTGAGACACTGTGAATTGAGAATTCAGTGGGACACAGTCCCTGGTGTACTCAAGGACACTACTAATGCTCTGTGAAGCTCAAAACGCTGCATGTTTTCACTAACTGCTTGTGGAAAGGATGAATGCCCAAAAAGACCGATTTCCTCCCCAGTCAGCAGTTACTTAGCTGCTTTCTCTGAGTCAGGCACTGTCTATACCACAGAGAAAGAGAGACAGAGAACCTATTCCATAGAGCTTTTGTTTTACAGAAAGTGGGGTCGAAGAACCAGACAGTATGGAAGTAACTAAACATGAAGATATTCAATAAGGACTATGAACAATCAATGGGGGGGATGTGTTTGGAAGGGTTAGAGAGAGCCACCTTCAGTAGGTAATGTTTAGGCTGAGGTGAGTGACAAGAAGGTCCTGGCCATATGAAGGGTGAGCATGAAGAGCAGAGAACAGTGGGTAGAAGGCACCCAGCTGGAGAGAGGGTAGAATGCTGGATTGCTCAGTGCCTTAAAGTGGAGCGACGTCATTTGATACGTGTCTTTGAAGATAGCTCAGGCCACTGAATGGAGAGTGGATCATTGGGAGAATATGAGTAGACATATACAGCCCAGGTAGAAGGCATGGAGAGAGTGGCATTCATGGGTAAGAGCTTGTGGGTACAGGCTATACTGGTGGGTGGAGAGAGGGAGAAACTATCTGTATGCAACATACTCCAAAAAGCCTCTCTCAGATGGGAAGAGCATGGGTTTGGAGTTAGGCAGACCCGAGTCCCAGTTTGAACTCAGCTACTTAACATTTGTGAATCTTTAAACCTTGCCTAGTCCCAGGTTTTTTATATGTGAAAGTAGATGAGATGGTCATGTCTGCTATTGAACAAGTCTTGCCTTGCCTAAAGTCCCATTATAAGTTTTGTTGAGGGGTTTGCAATCAGAGCACTATCACCAGGCAGTGATAATAGTTCATCAAGTGACATTTCTCTTCCCCACTTAAGGGAGTTTAATTCTGAATATTAATTATAATTATTAAGTAATGGTACTTAGAAATTGAATAGTTCATTGTGAGCACATGAAATAACATCTACTGTAATGAGTGTGAATAATAATACTTCACAGTAGTAGCTCAGCCTGTAGTGACCTCAGAGTCCATTAGCAGGCTCTTGAACCTGTCACCTGGGGGATCTCTGTCAAAATGTCAGGCCCTCACCAGCACAGAAAGGAAAAAAGTCCTTTCTGCCATGTGGGAGTGAGAAGAAAGGGGGAGGGGAGAGAACTGACCTGCATTAAGCAGCACCATGTAGCAGACAGTTCTGGTGCTTTACCTGCATAGTAGTCTCAGTCCCCACAAGAACTTATGAGGTGGCGTTATCCCCTCCCTCCGTTCAATGAGGAATAAGGCGGCAGAGTTGAGGCATTTCTACCCATTACTCAGCAAATATGTATTGCTCACTGTGGCAAGGATAGTGGGCAATACATATTTGAGTAATTAAGGTGAGGTTCTTATGGAATTTACATTTGCATGAAAGAGATTTACCAAAGAATTCATCGTATACATATTAGTTAATTGCACTTGTAATGCTTTTTGACTATTCTACATAGGTGGGATTTTACCCAGTAAGACCTTAATTTTCAATCTTTTGGCTGAAACGTCACTTCTGGAGCCTGATGGCTTCCATAATGCCCTAGATTCCTGCACTGTCAACGTTATTTTCCAGTTCGCTGTGGTTGCTTGTGTAATTACCTGGCTTCCTCTCTAGACTTTGTGAGGCCAAGTCTATGCCTGTCTTGTTCAGCATACCCTGCTGACTGGCCAGGTGCCTGACGTGGAGATTGATGAAGGCTAGGATTGAAGTGGTAACTGTGAAAGCATTCCCTAGACTGCATAATGGAACATGAGAGGGGCCTCAGAGATGATTCCTGAGTTTGGGGTGTGGAGATGGAGATTAGTCACTGACATCAGTATAGAAGTCAGGGAATGGAACTGGCCTACCACAGTGGAATGATGGTGAATTTGATTGCAGATTGGCTTATTGTGGCAGGGACTTCAGGGTGGAATTGTTTGTTGGAGAGGAACTTAAAAGTTTGGTGTACATATATGTTTTGGAGTTTTGGTCAGTACCGATTGTTGATACTATAATCCTTTGTGACTTCTAAGGGAGTATAGTAGATCAATGCCTGGGCATTGAGGAATATACAGGAAATACATATTGCATGGGCTTTTCATGCCTACTAGGTGCCCCATTGCCAAACAAATGAATTGGATTCAAACCATTTCTCCTGGGTTGAAGAGAAACTGGTCACACATCTTCCATGAAATAATCTTTCTTTTACTTAAGAAAAATGTTACATATATTCAATTTTGGGTATCAGATTTAACCATTTATTTAGCACATAACTACTGAGCACCTACTGTGCACCACATACTTTTCTAGGTGCTGAGAATGCAATCAACCACAAAGTATAATCTTGACTTTATGTTCTGGTGCTGGGAGTTACATAAAAAGCAGAGAAGTATGTTTATATATGCAAATGGTGGTAAGTGCTGTAGAGAAAAAAATAGAATGGTAATTTAGGTGCACAATCCTTTATTCTAAATTCTTGGTACCAGATGTAGTTCATACTGTCTGTTAATATCCCTAGTGGTATCTGGACCAACACTCCGTAATAAAATATTTTAGAAGCAATGATCACAGGTAGCCTCATGTCATCTTAGTTCAACTTTTGTTGCCCAATGAGTTAAGATCAAGTTTTGCTATCGAATGAAATGAGTTAAAAGCCTTATTTCAATTTAGTTTAGGTTGTTGTTTTTAAATTTTCAGAGCTAACATGTAGTTCTTAACCAAAAGTTCCAGGCACAGTTCTAAGCACTACATATATGTATGTGTATAAATTCATGCAATCCTCATAGCAGTTTTACAGTGTATCCATTAATCCCCTTTCAGATGGGAGAACTGAAGCACAGAGAGGTTAAACAAGGTGCCCAAGAACCTAGCGTCTCCACCTTCAACCACTGTCCTGTAGGGTATGAGTGCCGGGGTTGGGGAGGGAGACTGCTCCTTAAAGAAGAAGGCCAGGGAAGGCCTCCTGATGTGGTGACATCCATCCAGAGACCTGAAAGAAGTAAAGGAAGAGCCATGTAAATGGGTAGCTGAAGGAAAGCATTCCTGTGCGGGGTGGGGAGTGGGAATATGCTTGTTGTGTTTGAGAAACAGCAAAGTGAGTGTTACTGGAGTCAGTGAGATGGGAGGGTAGGTAAGTTCAGAGCAGTAGTGGGTGGCCAGACTTTGCCTTTTTACCTGCTTTCAGATATTACCCTTTCTTTGATGTCTCCTGGGTTGCCTGAGGCTATTTTAGGTGGGTCTATGGAAAGCAGTTCAATGAATGTTAAAATTTGAATTGATTGGAATAATTGAGTGCTTTTCTAAATGCTTGTTCCTTGAGATTTTCTAGAATAAGATGTGATTTTAAATAGTCAACTTTAGCTTATATTCAAATAGTGTGTGTCTCAACAGGGCACTGTTGTTATTTTGGTCAAGATAATTTTTTGTTGTACGAGATTGTCCCATGCATTATAAGTTATTTAATAACCTGACCCTCACATACTAACTGCCAAATCCTGGTGAAAGCTGAAAAGAAATGCCTTACACATTTCTAAGTATTCCCCAGATTTTATGTTCTGGTAGATATCATCATCATCCTTGAGAATAAATTCACAGGTATATAAACAAATGATATATCCTTTCATTTAATGTATTTATTTACTTTAGAATAGTGAGGCAGGATTGTAGAGTACACTGTAGGTTCTAGTCCAAATGAAATGCTAATACCCAGCAAATCTAGTGCTCCGTCAACAAAGTAGCAGACATACCGGGTTTTAAGAATTGTATTTTATCCACAGGTAAATGCATCAAAAGCTACGTAAATCAAACTTTTGATATTTTTCTACCTTATTATTACCAATCTATATTAATGTTTGGGTTTAGAATGAATAACCAACTCCTCTTTATTAAGTACACTAAAATTAAATTCTTCAGAAAAAAATTGCAGGGGCAATAAGCACAGTGAATGATAGGCAATATGAATTTTGACTTTTGACATGATAATAAGACTTTAAAAAATAACCTAGAGCTGCATATGCAACAAAGCATTGCCCTTCAAGGTGATCACCTTTTGAAAGTAGGTGCCTCAGACAAAAACATTGCCATTGCTCAAGTTTTCTTGCCACTCTTCCAAGTTCCTTTAAAATGAGTTGATGTGGCACATCAAGTATTGTTTCTTAATAGACACTCTTTGTTTCTAGCCTTGCATTCGTTTTCTGTTGTTATGTTATACATTATCACAAACTAAGGGGGCTTTAAACAATACAAATTTACTATCCCATGGTTTCTGTGGGCCAGGAGTCTGGGTGTGGGTTAGCTGGGCCCTCTGCTCAGTGTCTCACCAGGCTAAAATCAAGGAGTCAATCCAGCTGTGATCTCATCTGATGCTTGGGGCCCTCTTTCAAGCTCACGGTTGCTTGTGGCTGTATGTCTGAGGTTCCTGCTTGCTTGTTGGCTGTCAGCCAGGGGTTCTCAGCTCCAAGGTGCTCCATGGTATTCTGCCACATTCCTCATGGGGTACTTCTTGGAAACCAGCAGGAGAATCTATCTCAGGAAGGACCCAACCCAAGCCCACCAGGATTATTTCCCTTTTGACTAACTTAGTCAATTAATTGATAACCTAATTGTGCAAGTGAAACCCCATCATATTCACAATTCTGGCTCATGCTTAAGAAAAAGGGATATACAGGCATGTGCACAAGGGGCCATCTTCTGATTCTGCTTTCCACAGACTTAACTGATATTTCTTTCCCAGTTTGATTTATCCATCTTATTCTTCAATCTTGGCTGGAAATAATTTCTTACTGTTTTCAAAATTGGGATTTGTTTTCTATAATTAAGCAAAACTACCCTTGTACAGACTCAAAAGACTGAACCTCCAGCTCCAAAGGTCTTTGAGGAGTGAAGTTCTGTACTTTCTTGGAGCCAAAAGAGGCAGCCGTACTGGAGTAAGGGAACAACCCTGCAGATGACTGCTTTGGAGAACCATATTTGCTTGAGTATGTAGAGTTGTTAAAAATAATAATCCTATAAAAGATTAGTAGAATCACAAAAGATCTGATGTCCTAATCTTAAAAAATCTTATCCCCTTAGCAAATACATTTCGTATGGTTCCTGTTGGGTCTACATAATACCTTATTGCCTGTTATGTCTCTAACCATCATAAGTAGAGGATGTCGACTTCCTGATCATTTGGACTTTGTTTCATCCAGTTGACATTTCACAAATGTGAAAACTGTCTACAGAAGGTCAGGAATCGGAATCTTATTAAAATGCTAGCCTTAGTATAGTTTTTAAGTTTCCCTTTTATTATTTTAAATATAAATCACAGTTTTCATTTCCTTTCATTATGTGTTGTGATTGAGGTTCTGACTGAAAACATTTTTCATAGATCCTGGGTCATGTTTTAGTATATAGTTGCCATAGTTACCACATCACTGAGAATCATAAAATCTGCACCAAAACCTTTTTTTAATGAAGTTTCTGTTTTGTTGAACTATCACATTAGAAGTTTTCTTTTACTTTAGAGAAAATGAGCTTATAATGAATTATGCTTCATTTCCTACCAGAATACTCATTGTGATCTTTGATAGTTATTCTTTAATGTTTACGCTTTCTGGCAGACTGTCTAATATAGTGCCTAGTTGAGTACCTGGCCTGCAGTGGCTCAGAAAACTGAATGAATGGTTAGAAATGAATTAATGGTTAGAAAATTAACTGCAGTTCATTTTCATCAGACTGCTTCTCGGGTTTTATTTTTTTCTGTACTGTCTAGAATAACTATACCTTTTCTTTCAAGTTCTAATTCGAATGAATTAGAAAGTGAAACTTTTTCTAGCTCAGCAGACATAATTATTTTTCCCTTTGTGTTTTCATGGCATTTTTTGCTGGATCTTTTTACATCTTCCTAGTTGGTTCTTTTTTTTTTTTTTTTTTTTTTTTTTTTTTTTAATTTTGAATATCTTTTCTCACTGCTTCTGTAGGCACTGACCTGGTTGCTTCTTTGTGGGTCCCTTTGCTTCCCTGTCTCATGAGCTGCAGGTGAGCAACATGCCTGATCTTACTTATCTTTTTCTCCTTTGCATCTAACACTGCATGGCACATGGTTAGTGACCAAAAAATATTTGAATCAGTGCCGTTTTAAAAACTTTTTTTTCCAAATAGGTAATGTACACAATACATAAATGGTATTTAAAGAAGGTATGTCTTCCCATTCCTGTTCTCCTGCCACCCTGCTCCTCATCCAGAAACCACTGCTGCTAGTTACTTGGTTTAATAGCTTTAACCCATCAATATTTTGAAACTCCAGGTCCGCAGGTGGTGATATTACCCAATCATCCAGCATATTATGGAGGAAATAACCTGAGATAGAGTCCAACGATCCAAGTCCTAATTTGAGCTTGCCACTTACTAGCCTTGCCACTTAAATTTTAGAAAATTCATTTATACCCTTGGTTTTTATCTCATTTTTGGAATCCCAAGGATGTTGATACAAAACATGCAATTGTTTTCTAGTAAACAGTATGTCGTGTTTAATATTAGTTCACTGCTTGCTTTTTCATGTCTCTCGTAATCATTAGGCCTCTTACGATTTTAGAAAGCACCTTATAAAGCCTTTATCTTTTTTGCCTGTGTAACACATCCATATAAAATAGATGACCTAAAGACATATTCAAGCTGGGTGCAGTGGCTCACACATGTAATCCCAGCACTTTGGGAGGCCAAGGCAATTGGATCACTTGAGCTCAGGAATTTGAGATCAGCCTGGGCAACATGATGAAACACCGTCTCTACAAAAAAAAAAAAGAAAAAACTGGGGCTTGGTGGTATGTGCCCATAGTCCCAGCTACTCAGGAGCCTGAGGTGGGAGGATAACTTGAGCTTGGGAGGTTGAGGCTGCAGTGACTTGTGATGACACCATGGTACTCGAGCATGGGAAACAGTGAGACTCTGTCTCAAAAAAACAAGCTTTTTTTCATAGATATATAGCCACTTCTAAACTCAATGTGTGGTTCATTTTTAAACTGGTCACAATTTATTCTATTTAATCAAGCCAATTACAGTCAACCAGACTTATACATTCAGAGAAACTCAAAATTTTAACAGTTCACTTGAACTGATTAGGCTGTTATATTAGCGGCCGATTTCCACTTTTGCTTGGTTGCTTGATTTTATAGAGAGATATTTATGGTTTTAATAAGATTTTCCTCCCATCTGTTTTGATCCTACCATAAAATCATCCGATGTTTGATGGACAGCTGGTTGTTAGGGAAATTATTGGGACATGATAACAAATGTAGTGTTTAAATTTTACCACAGGGCTAAGCAGGCAGGAAGATGAGGTTTAAGAGAAGCCTTGGTTAAGAGGATAGTGCCTAGGTATAATTGGCAAACCCAATGAGAACAGTTATGAAAGTTGTGCGTTGTGGGTGGTCAGAAGCAAGGTGGGTACCCAACACATGCTGGATCACTGTTAAAGTTGCCTAGCAACTGACAGGCAACGTGGATAGTCAGGGATAAGCAGAAATGTTGGTGCTGCCACTTCGGGAGAAAACGAGACAAGTGCTTGACTGCAAAATTACTGGCTTTTTGAGGAAACAAAAGACATTCTCTCTCCTCTGCTTTTCAGTATCACTATGCAGTACTCCTTCTGTAATGTCTGTTACTTTGATTCTGAAACAAATCATTTCTTTTTGTTCTCCTTTGTCTCAGTCTTTTGATGAAAATAAAATTGGCTTACACAAGAAAATACTTGTAGATGTCATTGGGTAGACTTGGTTGCCTGGCCCTGTGGTCCTAAGATATTGGGATTAGCTGTCATGCGTCATGTACTTTGTTACAATTGATGGTTATCAGTACTAACGCCGACAAGTGATTTCCTTTATACAATAGAGATGATTCAAGGTCATATTACTACCCTTGCCTGCCTGCATTCTGGCACAAGTGGACTGAAGACAGAGCATACCCCTTTCTGTGCTCATGTGAGCGAGTCTCATGAGCATCATCACTCTTGGCAAGAAGCTTGAGACCCCTGACTTGGTGCCTGTAGACCCTTTGCACACTGGCAATGCTAATCACTAAGTGCACATCTGGCTTGAGAGGAGGT